AAATGAAGGACTCCGTAGACACCCAAGTTCGTGACAAACAGGCTGGATTCCATAAGGACCAATCGTGTACAGACCCAATCGCAACTCTACGGATCATTGTGGAACAATCAATTGAATGGAATTCATCACTCTATATCAACTTCATTGACTACAAAAAAGCATTTGATAGCGTGGACAGAACAACACTATGGAAGCTTCTTCGATACTACGGCGTGCCTCAGAAGATAGTCAATATCATACGGAATCCCTATGATGGATTAAACTGAAAAATTGTGCTTGGAGGACAATTGACAGACTCGTTCGAAGTAAAGACCGATGTCAGGCAAGGTTGCTTACTCTCACCCTTTCTCTTTCTCCTGGTGATCGACTGGATCATGAAGACGTCAACATCTGAAGGGAAACGTGGGATACAGTGGACATCTAGGATGCAGCTGGACGATCTAGACTTCGCAGATGATCTGGCCTTCCTATCGCAATCGCAACAACAAATGCAGGAGGAAACGACCAGTGTGGCAGCAGCCTCAGTAGCAGTATGTCTCAATATACACAAAGGGAAAAGCAAGATTCTCTGATACAACACAGCATGCACCAATCCAGTCACAATTGACGGAGAACATTTGGAAGATGCAAAAACCTTTACATATTTGAGCAGCATCATTGATGAACATGGTGGATCTGATGCAGATATGAAAGCGCGGATCGGTAAAGCAAGAGCAGCATATTTACAACTGAAGAACATCTGGAACTCAAAGCAACTGTCAACCAACACCAAGGTCAGGATTTTCAATACAAATGTCAAAGCAGTTCTACTGTATGGCGCGGAAACCTGGAGAACTACGAAAGCCATCGTCCAGAAGATACGGGTGTTTAGTAACAGTTGTCTTCGCAAAATACTTCGGATCCGTTGGCCGGACACTATTAGCAACAACCAACTGTGGGAAAGAACAAACCAGATCCCAGCGGAGGAAGAAATTAGGAAGAAGCGCTGGAAGTGGATAGGACACACATTGAGGAAAGCACCCAACTGCGTCACAAGACAAGCCCTCACATGGAATCCTCAAGGCCAAAGGAAAAGAGGAAGACCAAAGAACACATTACGCCGGGAAACGGAGATAGACATGAGAAAAATGAACAAGAATTGGATGGAATTAGAAAGGAAGGCCCAAGACGGAGTGGGTTGGAGAAAGCTGGTCGGCGGCCTATGCTCCATTAGGAGCAACAGGCGTAAGTAAGTAACAATGAAGCACCAAATATATATGCGCACGACTTCGTCATTCGATATGTATAAGGGCCAGAATACTGCTGGGACGCCCAAACCGAAGCAAGTGTCTTTCCTAGGAGGCCACTCCCCGAATTTTTGACCTAGAGGTCTAGTCCACAAAGCAGAGAAGCAACGTTAGGAGATACACTCTCTTGGTAGAGTGACCAACAATAGGTTCATACACCATTTGTTCCCTCGAGATCCTGGAGCCCATGTGCACCATCGGTTTGGAATTGGGGTATTCCAACTCCCGTAAGTGGATCCTTCATATCCACTAACCCAGATAAAGCGCCAGGCGTTCATTTTCGTTCTCTCAATTTCATAAACAACACCCACTGCGAGAAGGCAGTGAATAGAACTCCCTTGTCAGTCGCTATATACGCATGATGATATGAGAGCATTTCGAGAAGAGCTGACTGTCTCACGCCCTTTGCCGTACCAGGGCATTTGTGTGATCAAACGGAGACCAAGACAAAATCCTAAAAGCTGAAACTCGAAATAAATAGCTTTCGAATTCGGTAAACCTTTAAGTTAACTGGTTTCATGTGTAAAACCTCAACTATTGTTAGCTATCGTTGGGGTTGGTTTGGGGAGGTGAAGTAATCAGTCTACGATGTCTTTTTTACTCAATTAGGTTACAGATATGGTCTTTAGCCTGAAGAATCTCTTGCCAACGCAGATAGCGGTGACTAACAACGTAGGACATGGGACGAGTATGGAATGTCACAAGTTGCCACGCTTCACATCAGCAGACCTAAAGGAAGTGAACTGGATCAAAAGTACATAACCAGATGATATAGTTCTCTTTCGTGAAGATGCGGACTAAATTAAACTATTTGAATAACAGCAAAAGTGCTTGGGATATTTTACGTCTTTCAAATGCAAAACGCTGCTTTGTAATTGATCTGTGCTAATGCTTAAGCTGACTATAGGAAACATTGCTAAACACGTCGACTGTTTTATATGTCTTGAGAGTTTCCTTATACATACACCTTTAGTCGCAGCGGGGATGTCAGTCCTATCATAAAGCCCAGGAACTTGGTTTATATGATCTTTGAGAGTACAAAGCATGCATAAGTTACATGCAATCGATTATAGGTGTCTGAAGCATTGTTCGGGCATGCTAGGGTCACTAGGAGCGATTCTGACATTAGATGTATGATACCAGGTAGAGGTAGTGATCGGACTCAAGCATCAAAAAAGACAAGGTTAAATTTTTAATTGTCATAAGTCACGAAATTTTGTATCAGCCAATTAACAAGACGAAAAGAGAGGTTTATACAACATCGTCAATAAAAAACAGGTTTAAGTACTAATCAAAGACGGATCATGACTGGCAGCTTATTCCAGGACGTGTTTCATCCCATTCGGAGCTCGTCAGCTGGATGTACCTGCATCTAAGAGTTGATGTCCACTCTTGGACTCGAACCCAGTACCGTTCGCTTCAAACGCCATCGCGTTATCTAGGTGACGAGTCCCAAACAGGACAAATCGCGCATCCTGAGTCTCACTGCTAGCCATTATCCATCTTTGCTTAGAATGCTTGTGAATTAAGGCAATACGCACAGTACGCACATATGCCAATAAGTGACTGATCAATGGCAGTCCTGAACATCAATGGGGAGATCCAAGTAAACAATACCAAATGAATTTAGGCTTCAATACATTTTAAAAGAAAATATTTCCGACTTGGTAAGAAAAGAATGGAACAATACAAAGCTGGATACTTCGAAGTTAGAATCAATACATCAGTGTTTCAGAGGCCGTTGAATCATATCATCTAAGATATGCGATTATTGGCTACAATTAACTCGTGGGTCTTAAGCCATTGTCTCTTATAATTAAGAGATGACACGAAACAGTTAACGTCTCGGTTTAAGAGTGTGATATCTTGGTTTGGTTGTTTTAAATCTATTGGCAAGATAGTCGCTTGGACACACTATGCATGGGCACGGTTACAAAGCGACCAGACACTTTCAAGTATCATTTATTTATTTGAACACACAAACATTGGTACAAACGGGCACGGAATACATATGTGCCACACAAGTCACTTGATTTGTGTATCGTGGAAATATCCCAACGCAGTTTCAAAAAAATAATTGGTTACTTGCCGTATAGGATTAATTGGTTGTTGCTTTTATAATTGATCTACTATCAGTTTTATTTCTCAGCCTAAAATATCCACAAGATATTGTCCCGTTTAGTGGAAATACTAACAAAATGAAGTCGCCTGATCGCCCTGAGCAATTGTAAAAGTATCTGAGATGAGTTTCCCCCAAACCGCGATCTTGTCCTAGGATCAGTCATTATCTACTCAGTCTAATAATGGGGGAATGAAGCAAATTAAACGAACAACCACTTCACTTGTCTCAGAATTTCAGTGAGATATATATCCAACGAAATGGCGAGACTCTAATTTAGCGACGAGCCAATCAGAAGCGTTTGAGCAATTTCAAGGTCACGGAGCCAAGTTCAACACGCGATGCTAACATACGGTCGGTTCACAGCGGATTTTAGAGAGGAGGTGATTAATGAGAGGTTAAAACAGATGGGACGGCGAAACTCTAATTTAGGGACGAGCCAATGAGAAGCGTTTGAGTAATTTCAATTATTAATCAGTCAGAAGACAGTATAAAGTAAAAATAAATTACAAGAAAGTAATGAATTACAGTGGATATTCTTCTTTTACATGATTTAAAAACTTGTTGAGGTTTGATAAAGGCTCAGAAGTTTTGAATTCATAATGCATATTGTATAGAAACTCGTCCATAGGGTTAGGGTTTGGGGTTAAGGTTAGAGTTAAGGGTTAGGTTAAGGTTAGGGTTTGGGGCTAAGGTTAGGATTTTGAATTAGATTAGGGTTAGGTTAAGGTTAGGGTTTAGGGTTAGGTTAAGATTGAGGTTTAGGGTTATGGTTAGGGTTACGGTTAGATTAGGGTTTAGGGCTAAGGTTAGGGTTAGATTAGGGTTAATATTAGGGTTAGATTAGGGTTAATATTAGGGTTTAGGGTTAGGTTAAGGTTAGGTTTATGTTCGGGTTAGATTAGGGTTAGGTTAAGGTTAGGGTTAGATTAGGGGTTAGGGTTAGATTAAGGTTAGGTTTAGGTTCGGGTTAGATTAGGGTTAGGTTAAGGTTAGGGTGCTAACATTCGATCGGTTTACATCGGATTTTAGAGAAGAGGTGTCTATTGACAGGCTACAACCCTAACCACTAACCCTATGGACGAGTTTCTATACAACATGCATTATGAATTCAGAGCCTCTGAACCTTCATCAAACCTTAACAAGTTTTTAAATCATGTAAAAGAAGAATATCCACTGTAATTCATTATTTACTTACAATATATTATCGCTTTATACTGTCTTCTGATTGGCTAATAATTGTCAAGGTCATTTAAGATTCGTTCAAAGGTCGTCGCTAAATTAGTCTCGCTCCATTTGCTAACGAATTATATATATAATTGCACGGCACGTATATTAAAATGACAAGAAAGAGAAAATTCACCGTGAATCGACTAGTGATAAACGTGGATATCTAGTTAGCGAACTATAATTTGATCCAAACAATGACTTTCTAGAAGTTACAAGTGTTATACACTCATTTCTAATATCATGTCTTATATAAAAACCACATAGATCTAACATTTATAAAATATGAGAACTAATTTAGGATGTCTCTCGTCTGAAGTGGTGCAAGAACTACTATTATACAAAGGTTAAATTTTCGGATAACTCACCTGAACTAGGTCTAATAAGGTATGTTCCTTTGGGGTTCCCCACTAGCAAAAGTTTTCGATCAGCTTCACGTCGACCTATGTCATACCAGGCATCCAAGCTAGTTGGAAGTCCATCATTCAGACAGACGTAGTTACTGGGTATGTATCCACTCATTCCAGTGTCGGAATGTCTCGCAAACCACCATGCATCAGACATACCAGATACAACAAACATTATATCTCCTTTCTGGAACGAGAGGTCATCTTGGTTGTGGCCCTGATATGAATAAAGGGCGCGGACCTGTACCAAAGGTCTCGCTTGAACCCCGATCCCCCCCGGAGACACGGTAGATATTGCTGACGTAATTGCATTATTCTGAGCAGCTACACAAGTCATATGCATATCAGCCACAACATTCCTCGAGACGGCAAGAGAATTTTTAGGACCGAGGTTGTACAGTGTCACTTGGCTGACGTTCGTTGGGGCAATGTCGGCAGTAGTTCCATTATTCGTAACTTCAAGCGTTTGGTGACAAAGGTACTTTGCCGCATTGTTTGCGGTCGTTGGAGTCGAACCTAGGTAATAATGCGAACCCCCGTCGTTCTGACTTTGTTTCGTACTCCTTTGAAGACACAAACAAATTCCCATTATAAGAGGTAATTATTATTTTTTGTTTGATGCTTTTAGAGTGGCCATTAACTGTCACAAAAAGCACGAGGTAAATGTGAAAACGCACAAAGCGCCATGGTCATTGTAGCTGGCCTTGGATATAACAGTGGCAGAAACATCAGAGTATGTATTTAAACAAGTTATCAAGATATGTCTATATAAAGAAGTTAAATACATTATTATAATATTCACCAAGATTTACGGAGGAACGTTTTAGAAAAGGTGGATTTGTTTACATTTTGAGAAAATAGACCTTCCTGTTTTCACAATCACATGTTATCAAAAAAATATTATCTGTTCATGTGTATTGTTCTAACTTCCACTGTGGAGCTTCTCAATGTTTACTGAATTTATTATTGTTTATATCCAAACCCATATTTGACACTTTTACCTACAGTTAGGTTTGTAAACACTTTCCCTACATGTTTTATTACTTTGACTGTCATCAGCTTTGGTTTTGGAAACCCTCTGTTTTCTGTGATTACCTCAAAGTAACTGGCGGTTGAAGTCTATATCATGTGCTGAACACTTCAGTTCATGACAGTGGGACCATTTGCACATTTAGGGCTGTTGACTGCTATTAAACGAGCTATCTTGGATCAACGTTTCCATGTTGACTCTTCGTTGAAGCTTGTTATTTAATTTGGCAAAATAAGAATTCAATGTGGCCGTTTTATGAGTCGGAGTAGAAATTCTGTTAACTTATTCGTTATCTTTTAGACTCTTACATGACCATTCTTTGTGGCATTTATGTTGTTTGACCTGGTCAATAATTATTGTCAGTGGTTAGGTTTTTTGGTGAGTGACCAATACACTTCCTGTACAGTTACATTCTTTATGTTATGTTCAAATCTATCATTATAATGCAATAAAATTCCGTACTATGATTTCCTGATTGTTGAAGTTTTGGCCCTTTTGAGATTACTTCTATTTCGTTATATTATTTCAAATTAGCAGGTTTGTTGGTGATATAAATGTTGGGATATTCAGGAAAATATCCCAAAAATTATCCTGTTAAGCCTAATGCTATCCTTGGACATGAAATGGTATCATCTTATTGGTCAATATTTATTTAACGTGTTATTTTCCTACTGGCCATTATTGTACAATGTTATTTTCTATTTTATGGTACGTTGTGGTCTGCTTGAGTGGTATATAAACAAAGTATGCTTGAAATATAATGATTCATATATCCGAGGCTGAAACTTTCGTTCTGGACTCAATTGGCTGGGCTATACAGGGAAGCAGGACCAATCAGAACCTTAGGTCGTTCTACGTGTTTGTGCGTCTTTGGTCCGATCAATAATTCGCTACCCTCAATCAGCAGCATTCATTTTTCACGTTATAACAATAAAGCTTATGACCAAACTACGTTGCCGCGTCGTACCGTTGAACGGGTTATACGTAGATTTTTACTATATCTACCTAGAAGTCGTCTCACTCGTAATATAATAATAATCTGCAAATTACAACATTTGTTGGCTCACAGCATGCTTCCCAACTTATTAAGTTTATAGTTGTTATAAAGTAGACTTGTAGAGCGCTTGCTGTAATCTGTGACCTTGAGGAGACGCGTACACCAAGTTTGTTCCAAACGTCAGAAGTCCCATAGTTGTGCCCTCAGAGCAAGATTCAGAAGAAAGAAAAACGAGAAACAGAAGAGCAGCAAGGCACTTGGATATGAACGCAAAACGTTGCTTAACATTTCGTAGTAGAACAGACAGAGGTATGATAAAACATGATGGGAAGTCAAGGTTGGTACAAGGAAAGCTGTTTATTAGAAGGGGGTGTGCATATAGAGGGTGAAGTGTTGAGAATACTAATAACTATCTTTTATTGTCTAATATTTTCTTTCTCTTTTTGTCCATCCGATGCCAGCCATACAATTCTAGTGTAAAAGTCCGAGTTAGTATATTATAGGTTGTCTTAGTAGAATAGCTAATCCAGCATAATATTGGAAACATGAGTCTGAGTGGTGAGCGTAGGAAGACAATCTATATCACAGATTGATTGACTTATTCTCAATCATGAAGAGCTTGATACAAACAAAATGTTCTGCCCCACAAACATGGGTGGATTGAAGTCATCGCCCTCACCATCAATGCTTGCTGGTCAGTAACTTCACCCTCCCTCCTTTTGTGATGTTAGGCTCATTTAAGCTTATTTTTGGATATATGTCATACCTCACACAATCCTCTGTGTTTCACAACCTGTTGGAAAACACTATTTCTATAAGTACCACTTTACAAACTTACCAGGCAGTTACAGTTATGGACTGTGGGTAAGGCATCGATGCAGTGCCTCTGTTGACTATAGTATAAAGTATAGTTTGCCAATCAGAGTATAAGCGTTAAGAAGGGTATATTATAGGATAGTTGTTTAGTTAAGCAGGCGGAAAAAGTATAGAAGTATATGAGTTGTGGATAAGGGAACGAGTGGAGAAATAATATTAATTGCTAGTCAACATAATTTACAGAAGAGTAAAAAGTTAATACAGGATAAACAGGAAGAAACTCACAGTAACTTGGTGCTGATGTTATTTTCTGTTGTCCTAACCAGTTGATTGGTAACAGGCTCCATAGATGCAAGACCACTAGTAGTAGGCAGCCGATTGTGCGGTCCTCTTGACTTTTTAGGGTGGTAGTGAGTGTCCATTATCGACCAAGTTTAGTTTAACAGTAATGATAGGTCCAGTGAGTTACCTGTCTACTTCAAGTGAAGAAATAGGGTGGAAAAAGTAATTAATACAACTGCAAAGTAGGAAAAATAAGGCAAACTGAATTTGAAGTCCATTTTAGTCTAGACATGGAGAGAGCCTATGATATCTGAGTGGGGCGCAGATGTGTTCGTACGTGCAAGATCAGTGCAAGTGAGGGCTTGATCAAGCAGTTTTACAAACTTATGGAATTCATCTGCCATGCGTATTTCGGAGGGAAAACTGTTCCATATTATTGCATACTTGATGAGGAAGAAGTCTTCCCGAGTTTTTGATCTGTATTTCTCAACTTTGACCGTAGATACTTTGTTTTGAAGTCCTTATTCATGTGAGACCGACCGAGGCTGCTACCCTGACGCGATGGTCGGACTTGCCTATCGTGATGACCCAACCGAGCTATATTGACTAGAACATATGTTCCTGTAGATTCTACCATGCCAGGCAGGTCGATTGGAGTACGGTAAGACTAAAAGCAGCAACTCAAGGTCCGAAGGCGAAGTCGTACTGCTGACTGTACAGAGGTGTGACAGCAGTAAGGTGTTTCCCTCGGACAACCAGCATGACAGCGATGCTGCCTTCCCACAAGGAGGGGTGGGGTTAGGAAAGGTCGACCCTAAAAATGCACACCTCACCTTACCTCACGGATTTTCGTCTCCGGTGGTAAGGCCCTTTGAAGAACGGAGCTAACACGTCAAAAACCTTCCACAAAAAGGATGTGTGCGACCGGCCTCAAGCAGTTGTCCCTTGGGCTCTGCGGTCACGCTCCCAGGTCGTCAAGATTAACACTAATACAATTTCCTTTTCAGGTTCCTCAAGAAATACCCTTCCACGGTGTGGGCAGCCGGGAAGTGATATCAGCCCTCATACCCGTAACAGCACAAGAGACCAAGTTGGTCACATTCAAATCCTTCCTACACCTCTTAATACCTCTCTTATCTCCCCGACTAACCCTACTCACGTCTCTTTATCACCTCGCACCGCTAGGGCGAACGATTCGAGTACGTGGAACGCCATTCCTGGTCTCCTGAAACCACGCTCTAAACTACACGTAGGAGCTTTGAACGTACGAACACTTTGCCAAATAGGACAGCAGGCTTCCTTAGCTAAAACTTTAGAATCTCGCGCCATCGATGTGTGCTGCGTCTCCCAAACGCGCATACAGGATCCAAGTAGCGTCATTCATTTGACCTCACCATGCCAAAATAAAGAACCGACTCGATTTACGCTTCGTGTATCTGGAAGCCCTGATTGTGCTCCCCGTGGCCTCGCCGGCGTAGGTATAGCATTGAGTCCTAGGGCAGAACTAGCTCTCTTAGAATGGATCCCAGTAGACAGTCGTTTGTGCGCTGTCCGACTGAACGGAACAGTAAGAATCCGGAAAGATAGGGACACTCGTCGTTGCCTCTTCGTCGTCTCTGCCTATTCTCCCACTGCCTGCTGCTCAGATGATGTAAAAGATGAGTTTTACAGAAAGCTCTCCGACCTCCTCCGAAAAGCTAAGCGCTCGGATGTAGTAATAGTGGTCGGTGACTTTAATGCTCAAGTAGGTAAACTAAGCGATAGGGAAAGACACCTAGGTGGATCTTATGGTGTCGTGGCTCAAAGAACAGATAATGGCGACCGTCTGTTGCAGCTATGCTCAGATAACCGCCTGTTCCTTGCAAATACTAATTTTAAACATAAGGAAAAACATCTTTTAACATGGCGACCTCCTAATTTGTCCCAACGTTGGACCCAAATAGATCACATCGCTATCAGCCACCGATGGAGGGGCTCGATAGAAGACTGTCGCTCATTCTGGAGCACATGCCAATTTCCTCCCATTGTGCTGATAAGATGTAGTTTCCTACATGTAAAATTTTTTGCAAGAAATATATATTTATTATTTCAACTACTTTCAAGTTTGTAAGTATGCATAAGCTATACGTAAAACGAATATGAGCTTTGGGTCCCGAGATAAGTTTAACTACTGTCTACTTCAACAAAAATAATTCCCAGAAATTATAAAACCACAACTAACTCCAAGCAGTTGATCTTCAGTTGCTGTAACAACAATCCTTCACCGGTTAGTATTCAGCGTCTGAATAAAATGTCTACAACCGATATTAGAATTTGAGGAAAATCCATAAATCACTGTAAGTCTCATTATATTCAAAAAAAATTTAATCACAGTCATTCATTGTATTATTGGTTTTATTTTTGGCTGATGAGATAAAATTAGAAAGTTAGAATAAAAATACTCTATACTAAAGTAGATCCCAAGTGTACTCACCGATAATGACAAAATAAAAATATTATTTCTAAGGGAATAACGAAAACAAGTATGAGCTTTTTTTAACATTTTAGTTTATACATCGAAACGTTCAACTCGCACAACATTAAACGTTAAAAT